TGGCATATTGTTCCGCAAATTGCTTGTAGACGAAGCAATCTTTGGCCACATGGTTGGAGTTGGGATGATGCGGACATTGGGAGCTCATTATCTTGTCGAAGGTGTTGACGCGGGAACGTTGTCGGGAAGATGGGGTAGTTGTCGCCACAAGTTCTTCGGGCTTACGCTTGCGATCCTTGTGATTGTTACTTCCCCTCTCTCCTGCGGCCGGCGTGTCTTTCTTCGGCTTCCAAGTGGTGCCCGACTGTTTGGATGCAGTAATAGCATCTTCAGCTTTGGCATACACATTGGCTTTTTCAAACATCTGCTTAACCGTCCTGGGAGGTTTACGTCCGATCTTGCCGACTAGGTCGTCGTGGCGAATGCCTTTAGTAAAGGCGGCGATGATAACGTCGTCGGTAATGTCGGAGATCTTGTTGCGTTGCTCGGAGAAGCGTCGGATGTAATCTCGAAGGGATTCTCCAGGCTTCTGAATGACGTTGTAGAGATCAAACTGTGTGCCGGGGCATTCAAAGGTGCCCTGGAAGTTGGCGATGAAGTGATCGCGAAGTTCCGCCCATGATCCGATCATGCCACGGGGCAGTCTATGGAGCCAGGATCAGGCGGAATCCACTAGGGCCACAGGTAGATAGTTTGCCATGGCCTTGCTGTCTCCTCCTGCTGTGCGGATTGCGAGTCCGTAGACGGTGAGCCAAGACTCCGGATTAGTGGTGCCGTCATACTTCTCGATTCCAGTCGGCTTGAAGCCGGCTGGCCAATCCACTCGACGTAGGTCATTAGTGAAGACAGCTATTCCATCCACGTCGTCGTCGTAGCGATCCGGTGAATGGCGGTGACCTCTTGCTGCATGGCGCTGGTTGATCGTGTCGCGAAGATCGACGGGACGCTGGCGAGGTGGATAGCGAGGCCGTTCGACTCGGTGTTCCCTGTGACGTTCGGGAGGCGAATGAACAGATCGTTCGTCGTGGCCCCTGCTCCTGCGACTGGATCCTGTGCCTATGATGCTAAGGCTTGGCTGATGATAATCATGAGATCGGAGATGGGGAACCCGGCTACCAGTCGGTGTGCGAACGCTGCCGGAGTTAACCGGAACTAAAGTGGCGATCATGGTCTTGGTCTGGTTCAAGATGTTGACGACGTGATCGGCTTGATTGAGTGCGTCTTCCTTGAGGAGGGTGTCGAGAAGGGTGATCGCAGCGATAGCGTTTTGTTGGGGGGTGCGGAAGACCGCTGTCCCCTCAACGTCTTGTTGCCTGATAAGATCTCGCGCTCGTCGCCCTGCGTCCAAGGCTCGTTGTCGTCGGTCTTCGGCCTCCTTTGCAGCCTGTTCGCGTTCTTGTTGCTCTCGCCGCAACCGTTCTTGTTCTTGCGCTTGGCGCTCCTCTTCTAGTCGGCATCGCTCGGCTTCCGCTTCTGCTTCTCGGGCTTGGCGTTGTTCTTCCGTCTCGTTGTCGGTCATGAAGATGCCGAAGTAGAGAGGGGTGTAATTGTCTTCAAAGCTCTCGTCGAAGTCGTCGAGGTCGCGGCTGTCGTAGCGGTAGCCGAATTCGTTGTATTCCACGATCTCTGTTGGTCGTGAGTCGACGCCGAGGGAGCTGAGGTAGCCTTCGAGTTGATCCGTCGAAATCGTGCCGAGTGGCTGGAGTATGACGCCGACTTCCCTGGAGCTAGGTGGGATCAGTGTTGAGGCCGACTTCCGCCTAGGCCTACGTGGAGAAGACGCCCTTGTAGTGAAGACGGCAGCCAAATCGTTGGGGAGTTTCATCAGGATTGGCGGGTAGGCCCCATCATCTTGATCTGGTGAAGTTGAAGTAGATTGGATCTCGTCCGAGTGGTTTGAAGCCGACTCGGTCGAGATAAGCTTGGAGCAGATCTTGGCCGAGTTCGGAATACCGAACGGGGCTAGGACCTGGTTCTCTCCCGACTGGTTCGGATCCGAGTCGAGGAGAGAGATCTTGCCAAAGTCGTTGGTGATGAAGTCAAGGCTGCCGAACCGAAACGTCTGCCTCGGGGGGAAGACGAGGTCGTCGATGCCGGAGAGGGAACCCATCGCACTAATCGGCGAAGAACTTGACGCCTCCCCAGCCTGGCGCGCCAACTGTCGAAACAAGATTTCGGCAATAATAAAAGAGGGTGGCTATCAAGCTAGAAAAATGGATGGGTTTGGAGACAAGGAATTTTATACAGGTTCAGGCCTTCTTATTCAAGAAGTAATACCCTACTCCTGTCCGGGGATGATTCCGCCGAGTATGTTATTGATCGTATGATTGGGAAAAAAGCATCGTCCCGAGAGGAACCCGGACCCCTCCTTATATAGGGGAAGGGATCCGTATTACAAAATACAGTCCATATCCCTAACGGAATATGTGATTACAGATAAAATACAATCGTGACCGACGAAGATCTCGGATATTTCCTTGACACTCAAGTTAGAAACTAACCCGAGTCCTCATAAAGATATTCTATCTATATTTGGTACCATATATCCGACTAAATTATAACTGTCGTGTTGATATGGGGTATCCATAATCTCCACAGGTACGCTACCGAGGCTATTATTGCTGCCTCAAAACAAATTGAGGCAACTGTACCTGCCTCAACGTAGGATGCATCAAATTAATTATATTTCCTAGATTATTGTTGTGGGAAATACACATTTTCATCATCATGAAAACTTGACAATTGAAACAAGAAGAAATTAAATAGTATCCAAATCACTTCATTTCATATATTAGCAGTACATCCAATCATACATGTCCAATAAATAATACATAGCATCTCATCCGTCACTTAGACTAATATGTCTGAACTCCAATTCATATGTGGCATTTACAAGTGTTGAGACAATCAACTACTCAAAAGTGTAGATATATAATTACTGCTCATGTTTGAGCTATCTCTGCTAAGAAGTTCTCGCCAATTTTCTATAGTTGAACATGATCGACAATCATCACCGTTTGAGAGAAACTCGAGCACCTGGAGTGTAAATATGTAAAATTCAGTTAACACAAACAAACAATGTCACTATCTTTATTTAAATAAAGAACACAAAATATGATCATGAGCATGGAAATTGAGTTTACTACCAAAGAAAAATTGACAAAACAATCAAAAGTATAGCAGGAACTAATTATACAGAGAAGGAAATGCTAGAGACCTGTGATTAAACATTTTGAACAGAAGTACATTTCTATGTAAAATAGACTGCACCTATTGAGGTTTTAAAGTATATGGCAATCCAAATTACAATAGCATTTCTATCTTTTGCATACTTATATTTTGCTCAATGAAATTTCCATAATAAAAATGATGTAAATACTCTATATATACCCAACATAAATGGCACATATACCTCTTTTTGTCACTTCCCCATTGCACTGAGGTGACACTTCTTCAACCTTTCAAATTGATATTTACCATGTTAGACTTGCTATGTAAACTAAGCAATAAAATAAAGAAGCCAAGAAAGGAACATACTAGTTGGGATGGCCATGCAATGCAATGACCAATAGCGTCTCTAATATAGTTCAAATTTCTGTGCGGCCGGAACAATTCAGCATCTCCACATATAAGACTGTCTATCACTACTTTGTAGCACTCCCTTCCTAGCATTGTTCCTCCGACCATTTCTAAGGGGTCTTGACTTTGAATAATAGCTCTTGCAACACGGTTATATGGACGGACAATTCTCTTAAGAAAGACATCCCTTCCAACCTATTTCAAAATGTGGCCACATCAGATTTTATTACAGAGTAGAAAGTAGAATAGTTGCTACTGTTTTGTAGTAATAAAAAAGAACTAACCACATTTTCACAAGCTAATGCTGCCCTTTTGACATTAGCATGTTTAGTTGTTCCCACATTGGCCCCTTCAATTTCAGTAGGCTTGTTGTTATTGTACCTGGCCATATGCTTCTGTACCCCCTGTTACACAATAGAAGATGTTACTGTTGTCAACCTATTAGCATGCATTAAGCAACAGAAATGCATGGTGGTAATATAGTGCGTTCCAAATAAATACCATATATCCATATACAAACCTCAGCAGCAATTTGAGTGATTACAGTTGGAACTTTAGAGCGTTTACTTGTGGCATGATTGCTTGTTGTTTCTCCACAAGGTTTTTTTGTCATTTTTGGTTGCCTGGTACAATTGTGATTGTCCACATCTTTTTCTACCCCCTGTTGTACATTACATGTAGCATCAACCCTTCTCAATGAATCCTACAAGACTTAAGATATGTTACAGTTTGACTTGAAAAATGAAGTAAAATCGATGTTATTCAGCTCACCTTCGTAACATGCATATTTTGATTAACTTGCAATTCTCTGGCAACTCCTGGTTGCACCTATATTCAACAAAAAAAATAAACAAGTTTATACTAATTCCAAATAATACTAGTGCATTGACTTGAAAAATATGAAGCAAAGTCATTGTTATTCACTCACCATCCCATTATGTCTGTTATGATTAAGCTGAGATTCTTCAACAATTCTTGGTTGTACCTGTATTTTAAAAAATAATTCTTAATGCTGCAAACAATACTAGTGCATTTACTTGAACAAGATAAAGTAAAGTCGAAGTTATTGTTAGTGCATCGTACTAAGCACAACTACTATCTGTTCGAGAAGAGCTTGACCAGGGGACAAACAAAGAAGAATAAAGCAACCAACTAGCTAGGAGAAGAATAAAGCAACTAGCAAGCTAGACGGCTACCTGCATTTCATTCACCAAAAATCATATTTCAAACTAACATGCACCAGCTTCTAGACTATTCTAGACCATGTCCTAACTTTAGGACTATTCTAGAAGTACTTCAGACGAAGGAAATGAATTAGTTTCCATTAGCTCACCTTCCTAGCATGTTTGTTCAGATTAAGCTGCAATTCTCTAGCAATTCTTGGTTGTATCTGTATTCAACAAAGGAAAAAAAAACCATTAGATGAAACTAGACTAGCACATTGAGTTGAAAAATATGGAGAAAAGTAAATGTCATCCAAGTTACCTTCATAGCAGGCCTCTTTTGATTTAGTTGCAATGCTTCAACAATTCTTGGTTGTATCTAAAATCAAGGAAAAAAGATAGAAGCTTATAGTTCCTGAATAATAATACCAGTAAAATTGAGGTTATGCAAAATGAACTATGATCTTTTACATTGTTTGAGGTGGATGAGCATGAGTGCTCCTCAGTTGGCTTGTTCAAGGAATACCTTTGTTCAGGAGAAGTATGCTTCATAGCTTTAAATTCTGCCATTTTCTCTGCAAGTCATCTCTCCATTCGTTCTTCCATTCTTTCTTCCAGTTGTTGCATCCCTTATTTTAAAGCGCGGACTTCTTCTTCTGCTCTATGTCTTGCTTCTCTCTCCAACTGTAAGATTGTTCTTGCTGTTGATTTAGTTCCTGGCAAACCAAGACTTGCAGGAGTGGGACCCATACCTATTCCAATCACTCTACCTCTGTTTTCCTTACCAAGCAAGTTTGAAAGATAGTCTCCTTCTTCTATGGGTTTGTCCACAAATTCTGGCTCCTCGGTGAGTTTCTCATCAATTTTAGCCTGCATTAGTGAAGACATGGTTAATTTCAAAAAGAGATGCAATTTGGCATTTAATAAATTTTACTTACAATTGTTACTTCATGAGCTGGTTGTGGTCTACCATCTTTACGGGTGTATGCAACTTTGAAAACTTCTGCTCGACTAACTTTTCGACCTTTTCTTTTCTCCTGTGGTCATGTAATTGCAGAAGGTATTAGTTCAATGGAAGAAAAATAAATGGATAGATCAATAAAATTTCTTAGCCTAACCATATCATGACGAACATTTGCTAAGCTCCTAGTTCCAATGGTGTGTACTGCAACCATTTTTGCACGATTTGCTTTTCCACGATTGCTGCGGGCCTAATTGCATATATGCAATGTATGTCAATATGTTTTGCAAATCAAGAAAAGAATACAGAACATTTGAACTATGGCACTTACTTTGCCTTTCTCACTTCTCCAAAAACAAACAAGCCACTTCCAGACTTTTAGTGATATTCTTGAATCATGTTTTTTCCAAAGTTCTTTATTAGTCTTCTCAGGGTCAAAATACTTAGCTTTCAGCCTATTTTTGAAGTCTTTCCATTTCTTGTGAGCTGATCTCATGACATATTCCTTTAAGCATTCATCCAAGTCAAAATACCTCTGAAAGTAGAGTATACAATAAGTTTCAGAGCAAAACTTCTTGTAAAATACTAATATTTATGAAACACTTATAATGTTGAATAAAAAGAAGAGGATTGTACCTTCACGTTATCCCAGACATCATCCTTGTTAGGCACATCAGTCCAATCTTCATAAGCAAGTGATAGGACTTTACCTTTGGCAAGATTGCCAATCACATTTGCTAACTTTGATGCATAGGGACCAACTGGTTGAAAATGCTCATTGTAGTCAACTTTCAGTTTTACATTTTCTACAATTGGCCAGAATGTTTCCATCGTTGTGATACCTCTACCTCTTTTTGGCTCTGTAGTTTCTTCGATATCAGCATCAGAATGACCTAAAAATATATTGCAACAGTTATCCAAAATGCACATGCAGAATAAATTCAGGAAATAAGATAGAATCACTTACTTCCATCATATGAATCCATGTTAGCTTCAAAGGATTGATCCATATCATCCGCTTCGCTCAATTCTCTTAGATCATTTTCTTCATATAATTGGTCTTGTACATCTTCCTCACTGAAGTAGGCATCATGACATTGAAAATCAACAGATTTGCTTGGCACATTTGAAGTAATTTGTCTTGTCTTTTAGGCATTCATTTTGAACTTCTCTGCTAGGTGTGGTAGGTGTTGCACAAGGACTTCATTGTTTCTTTCTATTTGCATCATGCGCTGAAGCTCATACTTATTTATTTCTACCCTTCCTCCACTTACTCTTTCTTTTGCCATTATTTCCCCTACAATACCAGAAATTATGGCTATAAGATATAAGACCTATATGATTCAAAACTAAAACAGTGATGACAAAGCAACCTCAATACAAAGTAATGTTGGACCATGTTACATAAAGAGCACAACCATACCGTTGAGAGACAGCAGCCAAATCAATAGTTGTTCCATTTATATCATTTCTAGTGAGATAATCATTGCCACAATCAACATCAATGTTGACAGTATTGTTCATCACATCAACTTGGTCTTTTTGCTGATATACATCCTCCTCACTTTCACATTCAAGAATACCCATGTCATAGAAGTCCCTTGGTTTTGATTCGCGAACAGCATACCAATCTTGATCTATAGGATCTCGAACATAATACACCTGTGTAGCTTGTGATGCTAGGATAAAAGGTTCATCGACTAAACTATTGGTATTATTAGACAAGTGGTTAAAATTCACAAGTGTAACCCCATATTTATCTTTCTTAACACCTTTGCCACGAGACAGCTTAATCCAATCACACTTGAATAGAACTACCTGACCTGTCCCACTATAATTTAACTCAATTATGTCAGTGATGCTGCCATAGTATGGCACTTTGCCAATGACAGGATTTATGTCTTTCACACTAGAGAAACTTGAAGTCTCAGCAAAAACAACTAGCCCACTACTTTGAGTTGATTTCCCTTCATCACAAGATTTTGTGCGGAAGTTATATCCATTTATAAGATAGCTGTTGTATGTTATAACATGCATATCAGGGCCTTTCGCCAAAATCTGAATTTCTTCTGATGGGTTTTCTCCTTTGGCCACTACATCCTGAACCTGTTGTTAAGATGGAAAATCAATGCTATGCAAGCTATCAAATGGCTAGAAAGTAACTTTGGTGACAATATCGCTTACATGTGTCCTAAACCAATCATGAAATGTCTCATGATGCACACGGGCAATATCTGTTGTTCTTTGAATTCCAGTTGATAAAATATACTCACGATGCTTTCTACATAGCATGCCAATTAGTACAAATGCATATTAGAAACACAACACATAAATATTCGAACATATGAAATTAATATATAGTGTAGAGCTTACTGAAGGTAGGGGCCAATTTGGTCAAAGTTGAATAGCACATATCTATGGGCTTGAATCCATGAGTTATAATCCAAGGAGCTATAACGTTTTCCAAGTAAATGCCGACCCATCTTACTTAAGTAAGACTTTTTATTTATGGTCTGGCAAGTCCCATCGTCATGTCGTCCTCGATGATTAAAACGAGTTGAACAACCATGTAAATAACGGGAACAAAAGGTAAGACTTTCATCAAAAATATAATTTTCTGTAATTGAACCCTCTGGATGGCTCTTAGCACGGACATATGATTTCAGCCTCATCCAGTACCTATACATGTTAGCAAGTGTCAATCAGAAGTACCTATGCACTAATATGGGTTAAGATAGCAATTTTTTAAAAAACTTACCTCTCTATGGGAAACATGTTTCGGTATTGTACTGGGCCAGCCAACCTTGCTTCATGTGCAAGATGGATTGGTAAATGAAGCATTATATTAAAGAACGATAGAGGGAAGATTTTCTCAAGTTGACAAATTGTTTCAGCAATTTCATACTCCAACTCCTCCATCTCACTGATACGAATCACGGGAGAAAACATTTTCTGGAAGAAGTTACTTAGGCGAATTAGTGGTACACATACATTCTCAGGCAAAATTCTCCTAATGGCCAAAGGGAGCAGATACTGCAAAATCACATGGTTGTCATGGCTTTTTAGTCCAATCAATCTTTTCTCTTCCACACGAACCTTATTTGATATGTTGGATGCATAACCATCAGGAAATTTAACATCCTTTAGAACTTGACAGAACAGTTTCTTCTCATGAGCACTCAAAAAGAAGGCTGCTGGAGGCAAGAAAACTTGTCCCCTGCATAACTGGGTGCAGATCTTGTTTTATCCCTAAACTTTGAAGATCCAAACGAGAATTGAGATTATCCTTGGACTTGCGGTCAACATTCAACAAAGTATTTACTATGTTGTCACAAACATTTTTCTCAATATGCATTATATCTAGATTGTGTCTAACTAAAAGATGTTCCCAATACGGCAATCTGAAAAAGTAGCTTCTCTTTTTCCATATAACTGTGCTACCACCATCATTATTATCATCATCCTTACGTTTACGCTTCTTCTTCTTAGCTTTCCCAAAAACAACATTCAGATTCTCTGTCTCTTTCAAAATATCATGTCCAGAAGGTTGAACTGGAGCATCTCTAAGCTCTTTAGTTCCATCAAATGATTTTTCATCAAATCGGAAACTGTGATTTTGTGCAAAAACCTACGATGTCCCAGATAACAGGTTTTCCTACCCTTTTTCAGATATAGAGAACAGGTATTTATGTGGCAATGCTGACAAGCAAATTTCCCTGAAGTAAGATGGCCTGACACATATCCAAGCCCTGGGAGATCAGTAATGGTGTAAAGAATAGCAGCTCGTAGTTGGAACCACTCATCACGTGAGACATCGTATGTCTTTACACCTTGTTTGAAAAGATCCAAAAGCTCATCTACCAAAGGTTCAAAATACACATCCATATCATTTCCTGGTTGTGTTGGCCCGGGAATAAGCAAAGACAATATAAAATTGTGTTGTTTCATGCACAACCATGGTGGGGGATTGTATGGAATTAAAACAACAGGCCATGTACTGTGACTAACGCTCATATTTCCAAAAGGATTGAAGCCATCTATCGCTAACGCGAGTCTAATATTACGACTCTCAGCACCAAATATCGGGCATTGCTGATCCAGATTCTTCCAAGCAGGAGAATCTGCGGGATGTCGTAATAAGCCATCTTTTGTCCTGCCCTCAGCATGCCAACGCATATCTGAGGCTGTCTTTTCTGACATAAAAAGCCTCTGTAACCGTTTCTTCAAGGGAAAGTAACGAAGAACTTTTTGAGGAACCTTATGAACTCGTTTTCCATCAATCCCTATTTTTTCAACCTTCCACCTAGAGGTATTACATCTTGGACAAGTCTTCGCATTCTCATACTCTTTCCGAAATAGTATGCAATCATTTTTACATGCATCAATGTTGATGTATCCTAGACCCAGTGACTTGACGATTTTGTTAGCAGCATGAAAGTTGTCTGGCAACTGTCCTTCCATAGGGAAAGCCTCCTTAAAAAGTACAAGGAGCTCATCAAAACTACTATTGCTCCACCCACCCAAAAATTTTACATGGAGAAGTTTTATGATAAACTGAAGTTTTGACATCTTGCTCCTTGGATATAAATCCTGGCTAGCATCAGCAGCTAACTTATAGAATTTTTCAGCATCTTCACTATGTTCACCCACATCCCCATCACCTTCTACAGCATTGAAATCATTAAATCCAAGTCCATCTCGTAGCATTGCATCCATATCATCAAATTGCTGACCTTCTGTCTCTGACTCCATGCAAACATTGGTTCTATCTAAAGTTGAGCCCTCCCCATGAAAGAACCATTTACTATAACCCCTCATAAATCCTTCACATATTAGATGTTCGCGAACTAGTTCAGTATTTAGCCAATGACAATTCATACATTTCTTGCAAGGACAAAGAATACTGTTGTCTTTTGCTGAATGAGTGAAAGCGAACTGTAAGAACTGTGCTAAGCCCTCTTCATATTCATCTGTCCACCTATTACAGTTGTCATGTTATTAATGTTACAACTTTTATATATGTAATTCCTCTAGCTAGTATAATAGTGCTTTAGTAAGTTATAGCCCTGTATTACCTAGGTTTTTTCAACCAGCTTTTGTCCATGCTAGGAATCTGTACAGAAAGTGCATTCAGTCCATACATGTACCAAAAGTTCTATGCATCCATTCCAATAGTGCAAAATCACATAAAGGAAATGCTAAGCTTTTAACAATCTGTACAAGAAAGGAAATATAGATGATTTGCCATATGTTCAGAAATTACCTCTGTAAAAATAATTGCTGAAGCTAGTTGGCAGCCGGGAGTGGGAAAGCAAATAGGTCACAGGTTGACATCAAATAGCTATGTTTCCTCTAGGTGCAGTAGAAACCTGAATAAATCAATTGCATACAAATTAATATGTCACATCCATGGTACTAAAAATAGCCCACATATCACAAAGAATCCTAACAAGATAACCAAATACAAGTACATGCAGTATAACGTAACCTAGAATAATACTCGGGATCGATTATCAACACAAAATCCAAAGAACCAATCATGAAGCATTCCAACTAACATGATCAGAGAATAGGAAAATAAACATAGCTATCTTAACCTGTTGCTATCTTTTTTTTTTTGAATGGATTGTTGCTATCTATTTAGGAGAACTATAAATTGTATTTGGTGGAGAAGTGGATTTGACAAGAAATAGATACTTTTGGAAACAACAGTAATAAAAACTAGTACTGATTTGTTTTCTTCTTTTGTTCTTGATTGGTTTTCCATACTCTGAATCTGCACAAATGAAAAGCACTCAAGCTCTTTAGGAAGGGCCTGATGTTCAAGGCCACAACAATGCCAAGCTTCTACCACAAAGCTCCTTTTCCCAAGCCTAAATACAAGACAAGAATACTTTCTTGACTTATCTACCTCATTGCATCTAATCTACAGAAGGAAAAAATAGTAGAAGAAAATAATAGTTTCAACACCACTTTTCCCTGAACATATGGATTACTGATGAACAACCAAACGATGAATGGAAGGGAGCTACTCTAGATCGCTGTATGTTGAGTTCTTAGTTCTAGGTCAAGGGCAGCTGCTCAGGCACCGCAGCACTGCTGCCGCCGCAGCTGTCGCAAGACGATTAGGGAGGGAAGGAAGGAGACCATGGAAGACATGAAGATTTTGGGGCTAGCCCAGCAAAACACATGGATTTAGGGCAGGTAATCCCCTCGATTTGGAGTAGCACAGCAACAGAAAACAAAAGAGAAGCAACGATGGTCAGATTAATCACCTGAGATGAGGCCAAAGATGGTGGTTCTCTGCTGCACGCGAGCGAGATGGAGGTGGATCCTCTGCCACCGCACGGCACAGGTGGGTGCGAGGTCAAAATGGCGGCATGGGTGGAGGAGGAGGAGGAGGAGGAAGAAGAAGGTCAGAATGGTGAAGCTCACGACAGCCGTCAGATCGATCGTGATTGGACGGTGGATAAGGGGTCACGGTGGAAACAGGAGGGAATATTAAAAAAATTGGAGGAACTGTGAAAAAAGAAGAGGGAAAGTGAAAAAATTGGAGAGAATTTCACACATTAAGCTGAAAAAAAATTGGTAGCCCAATTTTTTTTTGAGGCTCTAGTAGGTGAGGCAAGCTTGGTCTGCCTCAATTTTAGTATTTGAGGCTACACCATTGCCTTAAAATGTATTATTGAGGCAATACATTAAGTCCGCCTCAAAAATTTGCCTCAAAATATTTGAGGCTGGCACATCTGCCTCAACAAAGAAAACCGAGGCCAACGTCTCTGTCTCAAAATAAGTTTTTGAGACAGAGTTCTTTAATCCACCTCAAATAGGTTGTCTCAAATTGCTTACCGTGCTGTAGTGGGTTTCCATGCGAGTTATGAAATTAGTTTTTTCATTCATGTCGGAATTTTCATTTCACCAACTAGACAGGCCTAACTGATGCACATACCACTTGTATATATATGTTGCCTACTGAGCCTCTACCACCTGCCTAGGGACAGTGCCAGTCTGCAAGAGACTTGAAATCATGCAGAATCAAAAGACGCTATACGAACAGCACATATGTATGCCATGATTGTTTCAGCTGCTTCAGCTCCTCTCCCAAGGCGCTATACCGCCTAGCTGCTCTCGATCAGGATCAATCAGCAAACATAGGAGAGAAAAAAAAAACATCATGCATATTGTACTGCGATTGGAAGGCACCAGGAACTGAAGCCAGCCGAGCATCATTGTTTCTGCTTGGCAAATTAGAACTGAAGCTTGCTCCATACTGCTTGTTCCGCTCTGGCCAAACGGAAAAATCAACTGGAAATCACGCATGGCAGCTAGCGGTCTTCCTTTCAGCTTCATCTTTAGAGAGCACAGAAGTCGCAAGCCAATAAGTAGTACAGGGTTTGATAACTTCGGCCGTGGCCGTGTTTGGATTAAAATTTTTTTCTTCAAACTTCTAACTTTTCCGTTAGATCGAATGTTTGGATACATGCATTAAATGTGGACGAAAAAAACCAATTGCACAGTTTACATGTAAATCGCGAGACGAATTGTTTGAGCCAAATTACGCCATGATTTGACAATGTGCGGCTACAGTAAATATTTGCTAATGATAGATTAATTATGATTAATAAATTCGTCTTGCAGTTTACAGACGGTATCTGTAATATGTTTTGTTATTAATTTACATTTAATACTTCAAATATTTATCCGTATATAAAAAAAATTTTGGCCAAGGAACTAAACACAGCGTTAGTTTGTCTATATGTACTCAGCTTGTGTCTAATAAAGTTTTGCATGTATATAACTGGCTGTCTGGTTTTGAGATTTGAGATCAAAATTGATGAAGGACATCACTTACCGGTGTTTGCGCTGGTATCAAGCTATGCAACCTGCTGATGGTGGCCTCCTAGTTGTCTTCACTGTTGAACACTTCCATGTGAAGCAATGGCAATTATAGATGGCCATGTGGGCCGCCCGGCACGGCCCGGCCGTGCCTGGGCCGAGGCTTGTCGGGCCGGCACGGCCCGACCGATGCACCGGGCCGTGCCGTGCCAGCCCACATGCAGCACTCACGGCCCAGGCACGGCCAACACATCTCGGGCCGTGCCGGGCCGGCCCGAAGGCACGATGGGCCATCATGCTTTTCCTCAGAATAAGTCTAATTTTTCTCCCTCTAATTGAGCTGTGACATATATATATATAGCTAAAAAAGTCTATTTTACCTCCTCTTTCTTTGGGTTGTGGTATATAAATAGCTAAAATAATTCTATTTAAGGTCCCTATTCTTTGGACAGTGACATTTATATGTCTATTTTTAGTCCCTATACTTTATGGCCGGCACGACCGTGCCGAGCCAGCCCAGCGTGGCGATGGGGAGGCCCAGGCACGGGGCGGTGGTCGGGCTGGGCCGGCACGGGCCCGACCCTAGTCGGGCCGCGCCGTGCTTGGGCCGGGCCAAAAAGTTGTGCCATGGGCCCAGCCTTTGGGCCTCGGGCCTTATGGCCATCTATAGTGGCAATTAATTAAGAGCTTTTCTGAGGGGCATTGTAGTTGGCAATTGCTATGTATGTGTGTGTGTATATATATATAGAAATATATATATATATATATATATATATATATAGAAAAACTATTCTACACTCGGGGTATAGAATAGACCCCCTCCCTCCCAAGGGTCACACCCATCTCCCCCTTCTTACCAAGGCCCAAAACCCACCTCCCACCTCGGTCAAAGACCCCTCCCACCGGTCAAACCCGCCTACTAACTCCCCCCACCACCCACCTCTTCTCAACTCTCGTCCCAGGATGGTGCAGTAACACGACAACCACTGTGCAGTAACACTGTGTCTTACGTGCAGTAAAAGCGTTAAAATATAGTTAAAATATAGTCATGACGGATCTACTTTTGATAAGCTCTTTATTTATAGCATCATGGTGCAAACGGTTTTAAAAAACCTTACATCACTTAGGAGATATTGTTCTTCAAACCTTGACTTTTTTGCAATTTGTCTCTCCACAAGTAGTAATAGTATACTATTACTTGTAACTACAGACAGTTGTACGTTACCACAATCTCATCACGATGTTACTACACTACGTTTTACTGTATTTTTTGGGTAGTGTTACTGTGGTAACGTGTACCTTCTGTGCAGTAACACTTTTACTTTTGTGTAGTAACAAGTATATGGTTAGCATATGATACTTTTAACCTATATATTTTTGTTTCAATTTCTGATTTACTGTAATTCACTACAATATTACTGTCAAAAGTGCAGTAACGTCATATACATGCAGTAACACTATATTGGAGGGAGGAGACCGATTTTTTTGAGAAAAGGGAGGAAGAACAGTTTCTTGAAGAGGGGAGTATATAGATGCATTTTGAAGTTTAACCCTCCACATGCAATAACACTATAGCATCATGGTGGGAACGATTTTAAAAAATAATACATATCTTGTGAGATATTGCTTTTTAAAGATTGGCATTTTGAACTTTAACCCTCCATATGCAGTAACAGAATGTGTAACTTGCAGTAACAATGGCATATACATGCAGTAACATTGTTTTACCAAATGTATAAAATTATTCAAACAACTCCTACATCAATCTGACCTCGCTCAAAGCCACCTACAGACTTTACCTGTAGCCCACCTATTCGATCTTCATCTCGTAAAAATGACATAGTAAAACAATAATTATCATGCAGTAACAAGTATATGGTTAGCATGTGAGGCTTTAACCTATATATTTTTGTTTTGATTTCTGGTCTACTACAATTTTACTATGACTTTACTACCAGAAGTGCAGTAACCTCCTATGTGTTATACAGTAACGTCACATGTTACCGTACTTTTACAACACTGTTACTACTAGAGCATAGTAATATGTTATGAGTTTCGATAGTGAAAGATATTAGAATTAATAATCATATTACTTTCTCATAAAATTCTTAAAACAAATAATATTATTAGATTAATTGGTTAGAAGAATGTGTTTTGAACTATGAGGTCATGGGTTCAAGTCTTGAATTTAGCATTTATTTTTTATTTTTCCAGAAAAGAGAAAAAAACACAGAAAAAATGAAATAGAGAGAGAGAGAAAAATGAAATAGAGAGAGAGAGAAAGGAGGGAGGAGAGCGGGAGGGGGAGGAGATGGGGGGGGTGAAATAGATCGGGAGGGAGGGGATCAGATGAGAAGGAGATAGGGGGTATGGAATAGTCTATATATATATATATGTATGTATATATATATGGGACACTCATATGGGGCACCATGGTGCCCGGGCACCATGGTTTCAAATGCACAAAATCACTCAAATTTTTCAAAATTTTCAAATTGTGAGTATATACCTAGTTATAAGAATTCGATTCATACCTATACCTATCAACAAAACAACTCAAATTTAACTTTATTTCACAATCCATGATTACATACCTAACTAATTATATGTATAGATGCTATATACCTAGAATCAAAATCTAACAAAAACAAGTTCAAATTCAGTTCAAACTTGCTTTCAACTAGTTAGTAAAGTAGTTAATATTAATACCTAAATAATTGAAAAAGTTTCATGCTCATTTGAATTGGGTATATACTCAATTTCAACAATGGTGCCCGGGCACCATGGAGCACCAAACAAATTTACTCAATTCAAGTTCAAATTCAGTTCAAACTTGCTTTAAACTAGTTAGTAAAGTAGTTAATGTTAATACCTAAGTAATTGAAAAAGTTTCATACTCATTTGAATTGGGTATATACTCAATTTCAACAATGGTGCCCGGGCACCATGGAGCACCAAACAAATTTACTATATATATGTATGTATATATATATATATGTATGTATGTATATATATGTCTATATATATATATATGTATGTACATATATGTCTATATATGTATATAGACACACACGGATTCCAAATATCTACCCTACCAACATCTTCACATATATATAGCACATCATGTCACTAACCAAGAGGTTATTAGCTTGATTACTCCCCTTCAATTATTTGGCCGTTCTATTTAGTATTCTTCCTGCATTTTGCTTTTGTATGTCGAGTCTAACGTTGCCTCCCATCTCATTAGAACTTGCAAACAACGTACAAGGATTTTATGTAAGAAAACAAAATCCAAATGGCTTGCATTTTATTATTTGCAGAACTCAGGCAGGAACTCCCGATGGCATTAGAATACTGTCAGTTCTCCCATATGGAAAGACAGATGAACATTGTCATCAGTTCTTGCAAATTCTTTCTGTTTGCTACTGGTGGATTCAGTTTCTTGCTCACTGGACCATTTACTGTGCTGATGCACAATGTGCACAATTAAGAATTTTTTACAGTCCTTTTGAGAGGAGGAGGTACCGTATCCTAACCGTCAATTTCATACGATCCAACAGCTGGATAGGCTCGGTACCGCCTGGTAC